GAATTACCAGACCTGGGTCTCTGGAGCACATCACGTGGGCACAACGGGACCTCCCCAGTTAAGAGAAGCTCAGATCACCCCGGCCAACCTCCTCAAGGGCCCGCAGGCAGGAACGGCTGGGCACACAGCGCGGGGACACAGGCAGGGACACAGGCGTGGCCCCTCAGCCTCCCCGCCCGCTCTGGGTGAAGCCCCAGAGTCATCTCTCAGCTGTAGAGGCAGCGGAGGGCCGGGAGTGAATCACAGCTCGGGGGCGGTGGGAGTGCACTGGGGGAAGGTGCCAGCTCCGTCCGCACCGGCCTGTAATTACTACGGGGCGCAGGCAGCGGATCCCAGCGCAGTGCCGAGGGGGAGGCCGCCCGCCACCCGGCAGCCCTGAGTGCAGAGGTTCCCGCGCAGGCCCTGGGCAGCCATGGGGACGCTTCTCCACCCCGAGCCCCCAGGAAAACACTCGACGGGCAGCCGGGGAGACAACACAGAGCAGACCCCACTGGGTGCACCGCGGGCCAAGGCAAGAGGACAGGAGCCAGCCCCGGCCAGCAGCGGTGAGAGGCACCCCCACGCCGATGGACTACTGGGGTGTCTCCACCCAACAACTACCACGGGCAGTGCCAGCCCTCGGCAGCCGCAGAGGGCCACCCGAGGCTGGGTGGGGACAAGCACAGAGGGCCAGCCCTGCCCACCACCCGCTGCTCCGGCAGCGACCCTGCTAGTGATCGGCTAACTGGGGGAAAGGTGAGCCAGGCCCAGCCCCTCTGCCAGGCTGCCACCCCGCACTCGGCCAGGCCACGCAGCAGCCCTCCCCTGCAAGACCACCCGTCCTGGGCCGTGCAACTGGTGTTGCCTGCAGCCTGGGGACAGGGCCTGGACCTTTGGAAGCTTCAGTCCGAAACAAGGTGGCAACAAGAACACAGCTCCCAGCAGCACTCACCCCGTGCCCTCCCCTCCAACTATGGCCCTGGAGCTCAGAGTAGCACGGGCCTTCATTTGACCTTGAACCTCAAGTCTGCTAGGTCAGTTCCACGAGCCAAACTGATCTCGCCAATAAAGGACACAGCTCAAGGCAAGACACACCAGGGTAGCAGCACAGGCCAGACACCCTCCCAACCCAGCCCAGAACTCCACACCCCTGGGACCACCCGGTTTCAGCCATCAGCAAACCTTGACCGCATGCGACCACGACCAGGTGCCCCAGAGCCAACAGGAGTGCCCTGTGCCCCTGGAGCCGGCCATCTACAGGACAACCTGGCCAAGGGCTGCAGGAGCTGGTCAGTTCGGAAGCCAGCATGACAGAGAAACCGTCCGTCGCTGCCCTGGCTACCCTACAAAGGGGACCAGATCAGCGCCGCCCAGCATATGCAGCCCTGCTGGAATGCCAGGGCAGGGGGCAGCTCGGGTGGGCACAGGTTAATGGAACATGCTCCAGGAAAGGGGGGTGCAGACCCAGCCATCATATGGGAAGTCGGTATCCAAGGGGGTGTCCCTGGAGATACAAAACACCATGTGCATGTACGCACACATATACACACATGTGCACCCTCACACACGCAGAGCCGGCCACAGCACTGTTAACTTCTCTCCTCCTCAGCAAAGCTGACACCTGGTCTGCTGCCCTCTAGGCAGGTGGCTCCACTGCCAAGCGGGTGCCTGGCAGAGATGCCATTGCACCATCTCCAAATGGGGGGGGGGCACTGAGCCCTGTCCAGCCTAGACACCGTATTTCAGATGGCAGCCGATGCTGCCGTGACTGCTCAGCCGCCGAGTGAGGGTCAAGGTGGCCTAAGGTCGTCGGCAGAATGTGTGGGAGCCCCATGCTACCCACAGCTCTCAGGACAGCACCTGGAGCAGCAGGCGGGTGTGTGGAGGAACCGGCCAGGCCTGTGCAGCCAGGCCCTCACCAGAAAGGCCAGTGGCCAGCCCCCTACCACCCAGCACCTGACGCCCACCGCCTGGTGCCAGCCCTTACCAATCATGCCAGAGGTGACGAACCCACTGGCTTTCGGCTCCAGGAACACTGTGGCCCTGCCCCTCGCAGGCCGGCTTCCCCGCCACCACTGCAGGGTGAGGAGGACAATCAGGTGGCCTCTGGTGACCTGCCTGCCCAAGGCCCAGGGGCCACAACACCATGAACGGCTGGCCGGAGGCTTTAACAGGACCTGCTCCTCCTGGGGCTGCTCCCGCACCCTCTCATCCTCAGGACAGGCTGGAGCTGCCACCTTCACGGGTCATCAGGGCACCCAGGAGCCAAGACTCCTCTTGGGATACGAGACCATCAGAAAAACACCAACCTGACAGTGTCCCTGGCACCGCCAGGAACCCCAGGCAGATGCTACGGAAAGGCCCCTCTGCACACAGGGATGCCAGAGGGCTCCCCGACAGGACTGCAGTCTCAGGCAGCCTTAACTCCAAACGGTGCACTCAGTCACCTGGGGGGCAGCAGAACCCCCCAGCACTCTGTCCCTCGATCTGGGCCATTGCCCAGGGCTGCCCCGAGCACACGCCAGGCCCGGCTCCAGGCTCTGGGCGGAGGAGGAAGGGGCTTCCTCGCCCCCCTCTCCCTCTCCCGCAGGCCCAGCCAGTCCCGGCCCCTGCAGTGCCCGAAGTGCTTTCTCAGCACACTTCGGGAAGCTGTTCTGCTCCTCTCCCCGCATCCTCCACGAAATTCCCCGAGGACACAGCTCCCAAGGGAACTGAGCCACCAGGAAAGAGGTCAAAGTCTGTGTTACAGATTCTTCCAGGGAGGAAAATCAAAACCGTACATTTCATTCTCGCACTTTTAGCCAGCAAGGCCAAGGACGAGCGTCCTCCTCTGCCAAGGCAAACACCGCTCAGAACTGCAGTGAGGCCACGCAGAGGCCAAACCAAACAGCCCAACCACATCACGGGGTGACACGGAGCGGGTCACAGCCCAGCCACTCCGAGAGGCACTGCCAAGGCCCGCCTGCTCCCACACGGACACAGGAGCAGCCCCTCCAAGGGATGCCAGAGGCAGCACTGTCCCAGGAGAAGATGGGACACAGTGCTGCCTGCGCCAGCCGGACTGGCCCAGATCTGCACACGAGTGGCTTCAGCTGTCTCCTGACTGTGCCTCTACGTGGGCTGGGTTTCTGCCTGGCTGACGTGCAAAGCTGCCCAACCTGTACTGGCACTGCCAAGGCACCTTGAGCTCCCCAGTGACAAAGCACAAAAAGGTAACAGAGCACCAGGACTCAAAGACTCAGCAGCCAGGCCCCTGTGGCAGCAAGAGCCACCTGCCTGCAAAGCCACACCTGCTGGCCGTGCAGCAGCAAGCCTGTTCCCAGGGCAGGAGCTCCCAGGGTGGAACAACCCTTCAGACAACCACAGCCTGTTGTGTCTGACCCTGCAAAACCGTACCACTTTACTGCCACACCTTCTCGGGGAAACTCACCAGCCCACTGGCCAAAGGAACACAAAACACAGAACCTGCGGGTTTGACGTGTGCCCCACACCTGCTAATCTGCTTCCAGAGGGGCTGAAAGTCCCCAACACTCTGATCCTAATAAGTTTTCCTGCCTCTCTCCTGCTGAAAGCTCTCTCTCCAGACGTCCAGATAAATCCCAGCTCCATCTGGGTGACACTACACACTGACTACCCCAGTTACAAGAGTTTCACTGAGGACGACCACGGAATTCCCCAGAGCAAACCCTCTCCATGCACCCCTCGAAATTCCACGACAAAAGTTCCTGTTTGTGGGTTTCAGTGCAGAAGCAAGGGCAAGAGGAAGAAAATCCGTGCCCAGCGCTGCTCTCCCACCCCTGCAATAATGAGCAAAGCGTAATGCAACTAATGACTAATAATTTAATAATCCTCCCTCCCTTGACAGCATTTGCTTCCACACAGCAACAAGCCAGGAACGTGTGCCACACACTGCGTGGTCCCAGACGCAGAAACGCCCGAGGCTGCCCCTTCCCGTGGGGACCGACCTGTCCTCCAGGTCCTGCTTACGACCAGGTCCCATGTGGCTTCAGAACTTATGGGTCGCTCCCACTCGCCTTAAAATTCTTCCAAACCGCAGTAGCTGTAACTTTAAAACGTTTATTAAAAGCTTTGTTAAACTACAATCTGCCCCCTGGACTCCAGCTGGAACCAAAGCGGCCACCCCAGGAGGCTCCATCTGGCTGTCCCGAGCCAGCCAGTTAAGAGGGTTTCCAGGCCACGCTAAGAAGGCGCAGCCGCCAGGGAAACTGTTGCTCTGCCGGCCGCCGCCAGCCCTCGAGCGGCGGCGACCCGCACCTGCCCTGTGCATGCCAGCTACCGGGCGGCTGCAGACATTTTGGAAACGAGGCACCCCTTTGCAGGAGGCCCCCCCACGAGAGGATGCCCCCGCCCCGACCGCAGGGCCGGAGCCGCGGTGCCGCCTGCGGGGTCTGCCCGAGGCCCGCGCGCGCGCAGCCACGCACCGGCCCCCGAGGGCGGCCCGCGGTTCCGGGAGGCGAGGCTGCCGCGGCCCGCGAAGACGCGGGTGCGACTCCTGACACACCGACGCCGAGCGGCGCCAGCCTCCCCCGCGCTCGTCCTCCCGCTCCGCGGTTACATAAGATGACGCTCATCCGTCCAGCGCCGCCGCCGCCCGCCGCCCACCGTGGACGGCGGCAGGAGCGGGGCCGCGGGCCGCCTGTTGCGGCGCAAGTGCGGGGCGCGCGGGAGGAGCCCCCGCCGCCCCGCCGCCCCGGCCCGGCCGGCGGACTCGAGGCCCGGCCCGCGCCCGCGACGCCGGGCGCACGGGAGGCGCGGGCCGTCGGGGGGCCGGGGCAGGGCGCCACGGGCGGGCGGGCCGAGTCGGCGGGAGCCCCCTGGACCGGCCGGCCGGGCCACCGTCGCTACGCATGTTGGGCCCCCCCCCCCCGGGGTGGCGTCCGCGCTGTGGGGAAGACCCAAGGTCCGGGTTCCCGGCCGCAGGGTCGGCCGGGGCCGCCCCATCGCCCGGGCGCGGCGGGCCCCGGAGCATCCCCGGACGACTCGCTCCGCGCCGGGCTCACCTTGTAGACATTTTCCGTGAGCCGGTGCATCTCCTCCGAGCGCGACAGCGACATGTTCTGGTCTCCGTTTGCCCATCGTACCAGGGTCGTGGGCCGTGTACGCTGGCGGCGGCAGCAACACCTAGGCGAAATAGAGTGCCGTTAATACTGGTGACCAACGGAGCCGTCGGGCCCTGGCGGCGGCCTGCTTTATCTGCAGCCCGCAGGCTCCTGTCCCCTGCCGCAGGCCCCGCCCCCCCGCCCGCCCCGGCCGGCGTCCCGGTTCACCGCCCCCTCGGCCTCCCGCCTCCCGCCCAGCCTCAGCCGGTGCTTAAGGCAATCCGCCAGCCGCCCCCCACGCCTTCCCATTGGCGGGTTCCGGAGACGGGGGGAGGGGGCGGGAGCATGGGCGGGGCCTGGCGAGCGGCTGCAGGCAGCGATTGGCCGGCTGCAGCGTCGATCCCAGGGGAGGAGGCGGAGTGGCGCGGCGCGGGCTGGGGCTCGGGGAGCAGCCTGAGGGGGGCCCGGGCGACAGCCGGGCTGGGGGCGGGGAGGCGGGGGCGGGGTGGCGCAGGAAGCGGGAGCAGAAGGTGGGGGGAGGAGCGCGGGGGGCGCCGCGGCGAGCGCGCGTGGAGGCGGCACTTCGCGAAGTGGCTCTGCGAGGCGGCCGGCCGCGCTGGCTCTGCGGGAGGGAGGGCCCCGCGGAGGAGGGGGCGTCCCCGGGAGGGAGGGTCCGGGCCGCTCGGCGCCCGGCGACGCTGGCCGGCTTGGTGGCGACGGCCGAGCGCGCGGCGCGGGAGCGGCCGGCGCCACCCCGCACCTTCGCAGGTGAGTGCGCCAGGCGGGCGGCGACACCGGCCGGCCCTCGGGCTCGGAGGAGAACCCGGGGGAGGGGGCCCCGGAGCTGGCCCCTGGTCCCCCGAGGAGGACGACTTGGGAGCGCGCAGAGGGGACCGGAGCCCGCAGCCCGCGGAGGCGTGGACCGCGGAGCTAGGCAGAGCCAGGCGGTGCGTGCTGCGGCAGCGCTGGGAGCTGGCAGTCTGGAGAGGGGAGGAGGCTTTGGGGAAGAGGACTCGGGGCAGGGAGGATCCTGGGGAGGAGGATCTGGAGAGAGGCGGATGGGGATGGGGAGAGGATCCTGCCAGGAGGGCTGGGAGTGGGGATTGGGGGACCGTCGGGGAGGGAGAGGACCCTCATGAGGACAGAGGTCCTCGTTAGGGCAGTGTGCTTGTGGAGGGAGGTCTCTGGGGGAGGAAGGGCCTAGAGTGGTGGGAGAAGAGGGGCAGGCAGGTGCTTGTGGGATAAAAAAAACTCTGGGGGGGGACTTGTATTAATAGAAGGGGTGGAAGGGTCAGGGGTGCCTGTGTGTTTTAAGAAGGGTCCTGCTTAAGGGTCCATTTAGGGAGAGATTGGGCTCAGGAAGATGACCAAGCTGGCACACAGGGTTCCTGGTACAATTCCCTTGGAGGAATATTTACATAAATTAGACTAACATAGAGGAATTATTTGCTTGACATTGTAAAACACCAGATCTGAGTGTTTCCCTTTAATTAAACCTGACACTCTCCCAGCATCCCATCCCTGGGAAATCAGTTGCTCGTTCATTCTTCTGACAAGTACAGGCACCCAGGGGGACAGGCCCACAGGACCACTGCCAGACCCCCAGGCGGGTGGCGAGGGCCGCGACAGGCCTGAACACACGGGCCCTGCTCTGTGTGCAGGGAAAGAAGAGCAGAGCAAGGTGCAGGAAGTGCCCTGTGCCCTCTCCTTTGGCTTAGCTTCCTGCCCGCTACTGGCCCTGCTTCCCTCTTTGTCTTTGTTGTCGCCAGTGTTTTAGGTGGATCCCTGAGTATTTATTTTCTGGGATTCTTTTGGATGGGGATGACAGAAAGCCAGCCCAGACTGACTCCAACAAACAAGGGTGTTTATTGGCTCCCGCGCCCCAAAGTCCAGGGCATCTTCCTGGCCCCTGACTCCCTTTCCCTGGGGCAGCCTGGGGCAGCACACACTCCACCCCACCCACCTAACACCGGCCCTAAGACTGACCACATGGGCTGGGGGGACAAGAGCAAACCCGGCTGGCCCAGAGGACAGTTGAGTGCTGGGACCAGGGTGACAGATGGAGGTGGGCAGGCAAACACAGCAGAGGGAGTCAGCCCAGGTTTCTTACCCTGACTTGCTCCCATCAGCCACAAGACAGGAGAAGGAGCAGGGGCCCTCCAGAAAAGCTCTGGTGGTCCTGGGCCCACTGCACCTTCTAGAAGCTCTCCAGGTGCTTTCCTGGGCTGGCCTGCCTGTGATCACCCTACTCCTGTCCAAGAGGACGTTCATATTCAGTGACCAACTCAGAGTCCAGCCTGCTTTCCAGGTGGGCCAGGGGCTCAGCGCCTGGGCCTGGCAGCTGGGCAGGAGGCTGAACTTCTCAAGCCACCGGGGAGAAGAGGGGTCTCAGTGCCTGGTGCAAGTGGAAATGGCCCGAGACTTAGCGCCAAGGAAGTGCATGTGGCTGACAACAGGCACAGGGCCGCACGCGGCCAGGTCCTCTTGCCTGCACAAGGACGTGCATCAGTGCCCTGCCTGACCCCTACCCTGGGCCACCAGCCTCAGGGAGGTGTCCACCAAGGATGTGCCCCCGTCTGGGGAAGGAGGTGCTAGCCCCAGACTACACTTCTCCCGTTTCCTCTGAGGCCCTTCTTATTTGGAAGCCCCTTTCAGTGTGCATGGCCTGGGTGGGGGCTGAGAGCCAAGGGTGGAACTCAGATCCTGGGAGTGCGAGGCCAGGCTGGTGGGCCGGGTGTGTGACATCAGCCCTGACGCCAGCTGGAGGTGGAACTGTGAGCACTCTTGTCAGGACACCTTTCTGTTTCAGGGGCGTTCAAAGCCTTTTACAAACCTCCCCTCGCTCTCCTCGGTCTCAGAGTCTGCTGGGGCAGCTGTGAACTGCCCCGACTGATTACCTGCCTGAAGCTTCAGCAGCGTGGCTGGAAATCCTGGCCCAGACCTGGGATCTCACCACCCTAGAACGGGCAAGAGGAAGCAGCTGTCAAGGTGGAGAAGCCTCACTCTCCTGGAAGAACGGCAAGAGTGATAGTGCCAGCTGGCCGAGACCACCAGCCACCACACCCTCCCAGGCCTGCTGTCCTCGCCCCAGACCAGGGGTGAGGGTGGAGTGAGTTTCACAGATCCAGGTTCTGGGGTGGGGGTGGGAGCCGGTTTCTATAAGTGAGCAGCTCACGGAGAATCACTGAGAAGGGAGGCAGACGGGCGTCCGTATGCTGCAAGTTTTCCCTCTCCCCGGTGACTGTCAGCCCTCACCCGGGCAGATGCGGGACCAGGGAGGACGGTGGCCATGGACATCCCCAGCACCCCAGCTCTGGACCGGAGCATCCGCTGCCCTGCGTGCCAGCGACGGGCCCTCGTGCACACAGTGTGCTGAGCCGGGCCAGAGGCAGGGGTGACTTCAGAGCCAGAATCTGGCCCTGCCGAGCTGCTGCCCCTGGCCCCGGGTCAGCCCCCGTCGGGATGGGCAGCTCGGGAGGAAAGGGCTGGAAGCAGGGAGCATGCATGTGCACGCCTTCATCAGCTTATTTTTAGTTGCCTTATGTAAGTGGCTTCATCTCAACGTCACATGGGGGGGTCTCAGATTTAATTACAGGATGACAGCCTTTGCTTTTCAAGCAAGCTGTTCTACTGGCAAGGCAGGCACAGGATTTGCGAGTTTTTGCTCAGCAGAAGGAGCCCTCTCTGAGGCGTCCACTCCGCAAAGCTTGAGCCGAGTTCACCTCACCGCCCTCTCCCTGGCCAGCCTGCCCCGGCTCTGGCTGAGCCCGGCCTGAGAGGGCAGCCTGTGTCCCAGACCCGGGGACATTCTCTGCCCGTCCCCGAGCTTCCTCTCACCCGTCCCCTCCCTCCCACCCCGCTGCTTGGCAGCCTCACCTTCTAAGAGAAGGAGCCACCAATGAACTCCTCTCCCCTTTCTTCACTCCTAGATTAAAGCACTGTAATCAGGAACCAGAATGTTCCAGGGCAGAGAAACCAGAGGGTGCTGGAGCTCTCAGGCAGGCTCCTTCCCCTTCCCCCACCCCGTCCCGCCCCATCCACCGGTCTCGTGCTGCTCCCCCCACGCCAGGCACCGTGGGCCACTGGACCTGGGCCAGGGTCACCCGGTGAAACTGTCCATGTTGTGTCCGGAGCGCTGTTTTCCCACGTCCTGGACGGGATGGACGTCCCTGCGTTCTCTCGGTGTTATTGGCAAGAAAGGGCCAAGGCGCAGGCCGTGAGCCCCGGCTCCAGAGTCCCACTTCCTGCGGGCAGGAGGCCACTGTGGCCGCCTCCGGTGCACTGTGGCTTTGTCCAGTGTAAAAGGCAGAGCCGCGTGTCCGCTGCCGGCTGTGTCCCGCAGGGCGTAAGGACAGGGAAAGCTCCGACGCGGCCGAGCCGGGTGTGCGGCTGCGGGGGGAGGTGCCGAGTCCAGAGCTGGTCACTGGCGGCAGAGCGGGGTTCGCAGCCCCCAGAGCCCCCCGCGCGGAGGGGCAGGATGCACAGCGTCGCTGGGAGGACGGAGCTGAGGCACAAATCCACGCAAAAAACACTGAGAACTAAATGTGGCGTGTGGTGAGCTCCCGGTAAGTCCTAGAGATCGTTACTGTCATCGCTGCCCAGACAGGACGATTCTCAGGAGCCCCCCGTGCACTCCAGAGGCTGACCGTTGGAAAGTCGAGGGACCTGCCCCTGCCCCTTCGTGGGGCTGTGCACAGGGACCTCCTTCCTTCCCGAGAGCCCAGCGCAGAGAAGCCTGACCAGGGCGGGTGACCACGGCAGCACCACCAGTGAGAGGCCACGTGGGCGGCCTGGACCCCCGTGGGCGGCCTGGACCCCCGACAGGCTGTGACGAGAGGGGCGCCTCACCTCTGCAGTCTCCCCCCGAGGACCCGTAACCCCCGTCTGATGAGAGAAACGCCAGGCGAGTCCCGGCTGGGGACGTTCCACGAAACTCCTGACCGGCGTTCCTCAAAACCGCCAGCGTCACGAAAACCAGCGAAGTCTGAGCAGCTGTCCCAGCCAAGAGGAGGCGAGAGGGCTCAGTGTCACGTGGGATCCTGGGACAGAAAGAGGACTGTAGGGGAAACTGAGGAAGTAGGAATACAGTGCGGGTGTATCAAGGTAGCAGTATTGGTTCCTCACTCTTAGCCAAGAGCAGAAACGGGGTGTGAGGTCCTGCCGAGGTGACTTCGTGAATCCCGAACTGCTCTAGCGTTAACCCTGGCGAGGGGGGGGACGGTGACCCTGGCACAAGCCCCCAGTCGGGCTTGCGGGGGCCTGGAGGTCCCTGTGCCTCGCCCCGTATCTGGTCCTGGCCCCGGATGCCCCTCTGCCCACTGTGGGGTCAGCGATGGAGCAGTTGCCCAGGTTCTCGTGCCCTTGACCCCTTGACCCGGCGTGGCTCAGTGGCTCCTTCCCTAAAGCCACAGCGATGGCCACGTTCCCGCCCTCACCTGGGGGGCACTCGGGCAGCCTGGGAAGGTCAGGGAGGCACCCGGGTGTGGCTTCCCAGGGACCCTTCCTGACCCGGCACCGCTGGGGCCCGGCCTCGGCCCTCGCAGTGAGGCGGGGTGGCCTAGGAATTCCGCAGAGCTTTTCCTACAGACCAGGCCGGCAGGGCCGGCAAGTGCAGGGGACCAGGAGACGCGGCCTCCCTGCCGGGCCTGCCCTGCTGCCAGGGTGGGTGGCAGAGGTTCCCCGGCAACGGGCCCCCTTACATAAGCTGGCGCGCATCGTGTGGCGTGACTCCAGGTGCCCGTGGGAGGCAGCGCGGGGGCGCGCGCAGGGGCGCGAACGAGTCTCAAACTTTCGCTCGGGTGTTGCTCCCCCTCTTATTATATTCCAGCGTCATCCTGCGTCTGCCAGCTCGGTCACCCACTTGCTTATTAGAATACATTAACTGACAATGCGGATTTAAATAACTTGGGCAGGTGACAGGCCTCCAGGGTACCTGGTACCTGCCCAGGTGAGGCAGGGAGGACCAGGGGCCGGGACGGGAACAGACAGCTCGCTGCGCGGCCCCTGGTCTGCATCTACGGCTGGGATGGGGCAGCCGTGGGAAACCCGCCCCACCCGGGCCACTCGCTGTCTCATGGCTGAGCCCGGCGTGTGCCTGGTCGGCAGCGACCGTCGGCGGGAAGTCTAAACAGCCTGGCGCCCGTCAGAGCGGGCCCTTCCGTAGGTGAGGACACGGAGCGCCGCGGGCAGGGCCGTGTGCACGTGTCCTCCCCATGCGCTGCGGGCTCGGCGGTCAGCCCAGTGCCCTGCTCCGTGCTCCCTGCGATCATTCTTCCTTTATCCCCTGAGACACGTCCTTGTTTTCTTATCACTCCGCCTCTTCCGTGACTTAAGCTGCCTCGAGAGTGATCTGAAAGGTGTTTTTGGACGGGAGCGAGGGAATCTGTTCTCCAGAGTCTGGACTTGGAGGACACCTGGCAACCTGAGCGCGTCCCGCGGGCCCCTCCAGACAGGAGACGGCAGAGCTGTACCTGCAGGGGCGCCCCGCACGCCGCCGGAGAAGCCCAGACGCTGCCATGCGGCGCAGATGGCTTCCCCGCCCGGCCCGGCTGCTTCTAATTTCAGCTGCAGGAGGCTCCGCGCCCGCTCGCGCTCCCTCTTTTTTATTCTGTGTTTATTTAAAGCCAGATTTTGAAATGTTGTCTCCAGCCCTAAAATCTGACTTTTTCTTCTTGCAGCAGATCGTAAAACCCCACTTAGGGCCCTAAAGGGTGGGGCAGCTTAGGAGACAAAGGGGCCCGGGAGCCCCGTTGTCCAGCGTAGTGTAAACGAGCCAGCGCGTTCCCGGGAGAGCGCCCGTGTCGGGTCAGCCGGACGGGACTCCGAAGACCCCGTAGACGTCCTCTGCCGGACTCCCTGCCCCCAGCGCCGGCTGTTGATCTGGAGAAGGTCTCGGGCCTCTCTCCAGTGGCCCAGGCACACCCCCCGAGGGGGCAGGGACCGGGTTGGAGGCCCCTCCTGGGAGGCAGGGCCAGATGCCCGGGGTGCCGGCGTGTCCCCACCTCAGCTCCTCCTGGCGCTGGTGCTTCCCTCACCAGACCTGAGAGCCTCATGCTGCATCTCCTTCTTCACTGGTAAACTGAGGACACCCGGAGGGCACCGGCCTTGCAACCAGCAGCTCTGGCTGTGCGGACACCAGGGGCTACTCCAAGAGGGACACCCCTGCCAGTCTGCCAGGTGTTCATCTGCACGACGTCAGGCCACGGGGCAGCCGGGACCCTTTGTCCAGTGGCAGTGGGACCCCACAGACAGCCCGTGCGTGCGGCGGGCCCTCCGAGAAGTGGGGGTCGTCCCCCTCGAGACATAACCACCCTCAGGCCCTGAGCGGCTCACGCAGAATGTGCCAGAGGCTCTGGTGACAGGAGGGTCTTGGTGAACGTGGTGGGGAGCGGGAGGGGGGTGGGCGCCTGCAGGGGAAAGGGGCCTGTTTGCCCAACTAGGGGCTCCTGGAAGTGAGGGCACTCGGGCGGGCGGGTGGGGACAGCTGGGAGCAGCCGCCCAGGTCTGGCTGGGTGGCCGCGTTGGCCCAGCCGGTCTCCACTGAATTAGCCCTGCAGCTGCGGCCCGCGGCAGGGCCGGCGCCCTGTCTAGCCAGAGCCGGCCTTTTCTGAAGAGCGCTGGGGACGGCGCGGGGCCTTGTGCTCTGTTCGTGCGGAGCCTGCTGCTGGGCCACGGCTGAGAGGACACAGAGAGAAATCAGTGGCACATCCAGCTTGGGAATGTCATTTCCCAGCGGCCCTCCGCCCCTTTTTCGTCTCGCAAAGCTGGAAGACGGAACTCCCGGAGGGGGTTCCTGGGACGCTTAGCTGTCCCCTGGCTGTCCAGGTGAAGAGAACGTGGGAAGGACAGTTACTCTAAACAGATCTGGTGACGGTTTACCACTGCCCGGCGGGATGTTGACTCCACACGGCCTTTGCCAGAGTCTGCCGGCCAGAACCGGCTCGGGTGGGGACTTGGCAGCTCCACCCGGGAATGTGCTGTTCATTCTCACCCAGGTTTCCAGATTTTCCTGCGGCTGCAGGAGCCAACAAAGTCCTCAGTGCAGCCTCAGGACACGGTTTTCAGCAGCCCTGGAGCTGGTGGTGTTGGTTCGGTTGCAATTTCCCCTCATTCTCTGGCGCGTGGAGTCCCCACCAGGAAAGAGGCCGAGACGCCCCAGCGGGGACGCGGCTGGGTGCCGGACGGGCTGGTGCTTTTCCATTCTGCTCTCCAGGGAAGTCCAGTTGGTGACTCCAGCAGGGCAGGTGTAAATTGCTAGAGGAGGGGAGCGGCCCTCACACTCTGGGCCTGGGCGTGTGGACTTGGCTGGAAGCACCTGGTTATGTGATGAGCTCTGCTCTGCGGGGCACTGGCCCAGAGCCGCGCGGCCCCCACCCCTCGCCTCTCCAGACAGGGCAGGGGTATGCGAGGAGGGTGTGCGTGTGCCATCGGGTGACCTTCACTGCCACCTGGTGGACAGCCAGAGAGTGGTGGCTGGAGGGAGGGGGCAGCGTCTGGAGCTTCGTGGAGACCCAGCAGGGACAGGCCACAGGGAGCTGGTGTGTGGCACCAGGGACGGGGCACATGGGTGGCGGTCCCTGAATCTGGGTGGCTGGCAGGTGGAGTGCAGGGGCTGGGGCTTGGAGGGAGCCTGGGAGCTGCTACAGGGCCAGCAGCCCGCACCTGGCCTCCTTGTACAGGTTTTGAACAAAATCTTGGCTCCCCCCCCACACACTAAGGGGCACCTTCCTGCCCAAGGGGAGTTGGGAAGCAGCAAGGACAACCATGCATCTGCGAGCTGAGCCCTTCCTGCCTGCAAGACGGAGTGCTGGGGCGTCTGAAGAGGGTGGAGCGTGAGAGCTGAGGGCTCCTGAGCTGTCAGTATATTAAAGTGCAAATATCCACTTCTATTCAACACTGTACTGGAGGTTTTAGCCAGGACAGTTGGGCAAGGAAGTGAAACTAAAGGCATCCAGGTTGGAAACAAAGAAGTGATACTCCCTGTATTCCTAGGTGATACGGTCTAGTATACACAGAGTCCTAAGGACTCCACTAATAAACCATTTCAGCAAGGCTGCACACCAGATTGATATACAAAAATCAGTTGTATTTCTATACTCTTGCAATGAATTATCTGAAATTGAAATTAAGAAAATTTCATTTACAATGGAGAGAAAAAATTAAAAGTAATAAATTTAACAAAGGAAGTACAAAACTTATACTCTGGAAACTACAAAATTTGTTGAAAGAAATTAAAGAAGACCTAAATAAACAAGAAGACCCTATATTCATGGATCTCAAGACTTAATATTGTTAAGGTGTACTTGTTCTGGTGTGGTGGCTCACACCTGTAATATTAACACTCTGGGAGGTTGAGGCAGGAGAATCGTTTGAGCCCAGGGAGTTGGAGGCTACAGTGAGCTATGATGACACCACTGCACTCTACTCAGGGCAAAAGAGCAAGACTCTCAAAAAAAAAAAAAAAAGTACTCTCAAAACTCATCTACAGATTTAATGTAATCCCTATCAAAATCTCATCTGGCTTTTTTGCAGAAATTGGAAAGCTTATCCTAAAATTCATATGGAAATTTAAGAGACTCAGAATAGCAAAAAAAAAGTCTTGAAAAAAAGAACAAAATTGGAGACAAACTTCCTGATTCTGAAAAGTACAAAGCTGCGCCGAGGACGTAAGATTCGACACACAAAGCAATGGGACAGAACTGAGAGTCTGGAAATAAACTCACATTTATGGTCAATTGATTTTTGACAATTTAGTGGGCAAAGAATTGTCTCTTTAACAAATGTTGGGACAATGGGATATTCCCGTGCAGAAGGATGAAGTTATGAAGTTAGCCCCCTCAACCTCACACCACATACACAATCTAACCCAAAATGAATCAAAGACCTAACTGTAAGAACTGAAACTATAAAACTCGTACAAAGAAACCACAAACATAAATCGACATGATCTTGGACTAGACAGGGGTTTCTTAGCTAGGACACCAAAACACAATCAGCAAAGAAAAAGTAGATAAATTGGACTCCATCAAAATTAAAAACCTTTGTGCTTCAGAAGACACCATCAAACAAGTGAGAAGACAATCCAAAGAACAGGTGAAAATATTTGCAAATCCGGTGGCTCACGCCTGTAATCCTAGCACTCTGGGAGGCCGAGGCGGGCGGATCACTCGAGGTCAGGAGTTTGAAACCAGCCTGAGCAAGAGCGAGATCCCGTCTCTACTATAAATAGAAATTAATTGGCCAACTAATATATATACAAAAAATTAGCCGGGCATGGTGGTGCATGCCTGTAGTCCCAGCTACTTGGGAGGCTGGGACAGGAGGATCGCTTGAGCCCAGGAGTTTGAGGTTGCTGTGAGCTAGGCTGACGCCACGGCACTCACTCTAGCCTAGGCAACAAAGCAAGACTCTGTCTCAAAAAAAAATATATATATATATATATATTTGCAAATCATTTATCTAATAAGGGTCCAGCATCCCAAATATATAAAGAACTCTTATAGCTCAGCAAGAAAACTAACCCAATGAAAAACAGGCAAAGACTCTGAATAGACATTTCTCTATGTACAAATGGCCAATAAGCACGTGACAACAGTGCTCAACATCATCCGCTATCACAGACTGATGCAACTCAAAACCACAGTGACAGACCACGTCATACCCACTGGGTGCCTGTATCAAAAACACAGAGTGACGAGTGTTGGTGAGGATGTGGAGAAATGGACCCCTCACGCTGCTGTGGGGGTGGGAATGTGCAGCCACTTTGGAGAACAGTCTGGCAGCTGCCCAGTCACTGAGCAGTTACCGCATGACCAGCGATCCCACTCCTAGGTGTACACCCAGGAGAAATGAAAACGTATATAATGCTTACATCAGCATTTTTCATAATAGCCAAGAATAGAAACAACCCGAATATCCATCAACGGACAAATGGATAAACAAAATGTGACGTATCAAAAAACTGTAATATTATTTGGCCATTAGAAAGAAAGCCTACCGACACATGCTACAGCACAGATGAACCGTGAAAAATACACAAATGGAAGAAGCCTGTCGCAAGAGGCCACATAATGTAATTCCATTCCTATGAAAGCGCAGAACAGGGAGGTCTGTGGGTCAGATCAGTGGTTGCTATGGCCGAGGTCAACAGGAGGGTGGTGGCTAAAGGGTGTGGGTTTCTTCTGCAGTGATGAAAATGTTCTAGAATGAAGTGCAGCTGAGGTGGCGCACGTTTGCGGATATGCTCAACACCAAGAATTGTGTGCTCTAGGCCGGGCACGGTGTCTCACACCTGTAAACCTAGCACCCTGGGAGGCCGAGGAGGGAGGATTGCTCAAGATCAGGAGTTTGAAACCAGCGTGAGCAAGAGTGAGACCTCCAACCCCTACTAAAAACAGAAAGAAATTAGCTGGACAACTAAAAATATATAGAAAAAATTAGCCGGGCATGGTGGTGCATGCCTGTAGTCCCAGCTACTGGGGAGGCTGAGGTAGATTGCTTGAGTTGGAGGTTGCTGTGAGCTAGGCTGGCGCCACGGCACTCTGGCCCGGGCAACAGAGTGAGATTCTGTCTCAAAAGGAAAAAAAAGATTGTGTGCTCCAAATGGGTGACTGGTATGGCAGGTGAATTATAGCTCAATAGAGCTGTTGCCAAAAAATAAAAAACAGAAAGCATGTTGGCTCATACAGAGCACTGTGGGCAGGACGTCTCTGCCATCCGAGCCCGGGGTCCACGCCCTGGTGCTCCTCTTGCCACTCTCAGGACGCCCTCCTGCCCCACAGGCTGGGAGCCGGGGTTGTGTGTCTGTGCTTGTGTGGGGTGAGGGGTCATTGGGAGCCCCAGGCTTGGGGTGCGGCCCACGAGCTGCTGTTCCTGTGTGATCATTAATAAAGCCATCGGTGCTGCTGCTCCGGCCTCTCTGCAGGGTGACTTCTGTCAGGTGGCCGCCTGCAGTGTGCTGGCCAGATGCTGCAGGAGTTCCACAGGCCTGTCCCGCAGCCTGGCAGGACGGGGCCGACAGTGTCCCCTCCCTGACCGCAGGACGGCTCCTTGCTTTGGCTGCAGCTGTGGTCTTACCCCAGGAGGTTGGCTCCTCCATGGTTTCTGCTTCAGTTCCAGTGCTTGTCCCCCCAAAACTCATGTTGAAATTGCCTTTGTGACAGTACGAAGAAGTGGGACTTTGAGAGGTGAGCAGGCAGGAGGGCTCCACCTGCACAGGTGGGCCTGGTGCCGCTGGGGATGGCGGGCTTGGCCCCCTCTCCTCTCGCCTTCCACCCGTGACGACGCAGCAAGAAGGGCCCCGCAGGCGCCGGCACCCGGGCGATGGACTCCCCAGCCCCCAGCGCCGACGAACCTGCACTCACCACGAACCACCCGGTCTCGGGTGTTCTGTTCCAGCAGCATGGAAGGGACCAAGTCCCCGAGAGACTGTTTCCAGCCAGTACTTTGTAGGTGCCGTTCACGGGTTGGAACAGAAGTGGACTCTTAGGGCTGGAAGAGACCCAGAGGCCACAGCCCCAAGACTTCACATATGAGAAAACTGAGGCTCAAAGGATTTGGTGGCTGAGCCGGCCGCTGTTTGGGTCTGGGCTTGGGCCAAACTGTCATCCCTTCATGAGTCAGAGCTTGGCACAGGCGCTAGCTGAGCACCACCCATGTGGGGGCTGGGTGTCCCCGTCCCGTCCAGGACACCCGCCCTTCCCAGACGTCCCGCAGTCTTTGAAGAGAGGGGCCCCTCTCCCCCGCAGGGCCTGGACGGCTTCCTGAGGAGTCCTCGGTGGCTAGAGGGCTCCCGACACCCATGGAAGCTGCTGCCTGTGGCCTGTCCCTTCAGGCTCTCTCCCCCTCCCACATGGGCAGTCCTCTGAGCCCCCATGTGAACCCCCAACAGCCTCTCCTTCTCCTCCAAGTCCCTGCAGGCCCCCAGACCTCGGGCAGGACGGCAGATCTGCCACAGGCTCTGCACCTAATTCTGACTTGCTTGTGAAGGTCCGAGTCTGTGGGCCAGCCTGACGCTGGGCTCTGCTCCGTGCTGGTGGCAGGGCTACCGTCAGCCCCTTGACGGGACGGGGAGCCAGCAAGCTGTGCCCGCTAAGGGGGTCAGCTCAAGGGCGTCGGGTGGTCAGGGCTGCGCCTCACTAGGTCCAGCAGGGAACTGTGTGAAGGAAAGGCTGGTGCTCACTCCTCTTCCAGGCCGCCCAGGACACAGGGGCGCCCCGGGCTGTGCCTCCACCTCCCTCGGGTCGGGAAGAAGCTTGTGCTGCTGCAGGGACAGTTGCCCGCACCACCTGGGCTCCGACCTGGAACGTGGCCGCGAGGGGCAGGGTGCTGTGGACAGCTGCTTGGGGTGGGGCCCCGCCAGGGGATGCCACAGGGGATCTGCCTCTCCGGGGAGGCCCTGCTGGGCTGACGTAGAGAATGGAAAGGGCCCAGGGGGTGGAGGCTGCACCGAGGCCTGGCTGGCCGCCCGTGCTGCCCTGAAGCAGGACCCCTCCCCCGTGAAGTTGGGGACAGAGAGCTGGTACTCGCCAGGCCTGGGACCCGCTGCTGTAAGGGGGCAGGGTCGTGGCCAGTAAAAATAACCTTGGGACCGCCTCACAATCCTGGGGCAGAGGGGTGCAAGTCCCCAAGAGCAAGTGGGCAGCCCCCACACCGCAGAACCCCCAGGCGGGGAGGCAGAGGGCCCCCTCCTGATGACACATGCCCCGCAGGACAGCCACGGTCCCAGCTCTGCGGGCGGCTCAGTGTCATCACCAACCCAGGACTTACCCTGAAAACCCCGATTTCGAGCTTTCTTTGAGAAGCCCCGAGGCTGGTGTCCCATGACACCCACGAGTTCCCTGGCCCAGGCATGGAGCCGCCTCCTCAGTGGGGCATGCCTAGCTCGCTCTCTGGGCCTCCCACTTGGGCATTGTGACCCCCAACTGCCCACCCACCCTCCTCGTGAGCAGGTGAGGCCTTGGGACTTCCAGCCTGCCTGCCACCAGCCACAGGAATCCCATGAAACCACTAGAGTAAGGACAGGCAGCCAGTGTCCCTTCAGAAAGATGTGGCCAGAGCGCTGTACCGGCCCTCACAGAAGACAGCTGCCCACAGGTGACTGTCAGGGCCCCAGCCACACGGGGTGGAGCCCTGAGGCCACCTCTTGCTCACCGGGCAGAACCTTGTACACTGTCCTTGGCTCGGCCAGGCAGGTGCCCTCCAGGGAGTGTCCTGAGCTGGCCAGGGGCCGTTTCGGTCAGGGTCACCACGAGGGGGGCCACGCCCTAGCCCACCCACAGCAGGTGCCGACCGTGCCACGTCCACCAGGCAGCAGGCCGTGCAGGGGGCCAACTTTAATTTGGGGCCATCCTGTTTGGGGGTTAAGGAAGCAGCTCCCCTGTGTCCTTGGTGGCCCTCGAGGCCTCTGCTCCTGCTGGCGTCACAGACGGGGCACATCCCGGCGAGACCGTCTAATCACAGAACCACCCGCGTGCAAGAAGTCCTGTCCAGGCCTCCCGTCTTGGCTGCTGGTGGCTGGGAAGCTGGCGGGTCGGGGGGCCCAGGTCCCTGCAGGTCCACGAGCCCCACACGCGGGCGCCCACAGGCACCGCAGGACGGGTCTCGTCTCCCCGTCGGGATGTCCGTTGTCAGCAGGGCTGAGCCACCGTGCACAGGCCCACGAGTGACGAGGGGTGAAGCCAGGGCTCCCGGAGCCGTCAATCCCGCAAGGACGGCCCCTGGCCCACCGCCCCCAAACGAGAGGCTGCAGTGTGGGGCGCTGAGGCCGAGGCATCCAGAGGTTCCACGAACACTAGTGTCATGGGGCTTCTACGCCCAATGTATGTGGAAACTGAGGCATGTCAGGAGGCCAGGCCACGGCAGAGACCCCGTAACTGAAGCCCCACCAGCTAATGGGAGCAGCAGGAAGTGAAAGGAAGCGCGGGACCCCAAGGTCCTTCCCCACAGAGGAGCACGGCTGTGTGGGGTCGGGAGCAGCACCGCAAGCCTGGCCTGGCCACCGCAGAGTGCAGCCGCCAGGAGCAGCCTGGCCGGGGTCCAGCCGCTGCCGTTTAGTCCAGAAATGAGAGCAAGACAGCAGCGCCCACGTGCACTCAGACTTTAAGCTGCGAGGGGTGACCGAATCACCCTGACGCGCCAGCCCTGCGCTGCGCTCCTGAGCACCGTCCACGCTGATCTCCAGGGAGCCCGGTCAGGCCGGCCACGAGCCCAGGCTCCCAGTGGCCACAGTCCTTGGGGAATCCCTCGAGCCCCGCAAGGGGAGGCTGTGTTACGAAGCTGCCACCAGTTCCGCCTGCCTGGGCCTGGCCTTGACAGGGACTTTTTCTGTGGAGGAAACAAAGAAACGTGACGCACAGGAGACCCCACAGGCGGAAACCTCCAGAGAAGGACGAGGTAGCAGGGAGCCAGGAGCCGGAAGCTGGGCTAGGACTGCAAGCTAAGGGAAGAGCACACCCGGCCTGGGGACAAGTTACAAACAGGAAACCGCTGGGGATGACAGACACGGCTGGGGACATGGGACGGGGGAAACACAGCCCCTGCCAACAGCGCCCAGCGAGGAGATGAGAGCTGAAGATCAGTAAAGGAACAGAACAAAGCACGGGTGGGTCGTAAAGCCGAGTCGGCTCCGGCAGGAACTGGCTGAGAGTGCGTGTCAAATGCTGCCTCGGGGCTGGGACAGCCCATGCGGCCCCTCCTGAGTCACCCTGGAAAGTGCTGGTGCAGGTAAGCAAGCCCCTTCCCCGTCCCAGTGTCTGGACGTGCACCTCTGGGGGACACGGCTCCCTTACAGGGCGCCCAAGCCCGAAGGCCAGATGGGTGCACTGCCCCTCGCCCCCGCCTGGGGGAAGATGGACCCACCTGGGCCGAGCGGGAGGGGCCAGAAGTGTGTGTCATGCACCCTTCTATAACTCAGTGCGCTCCTGAGAATTGTAACACGCTCAAAAGGACAAGGCATGGAGATACCTGGGATCTTCTCGGGAAGGGGCTCTGAAGGAACCTCCGGCAGCTCTATTTGTTCCTGCAAGAAGCACAGGTGAGGCCATGACAGTGAGGCAGGGGTGCCAGTGGCTGCCCGGGACTGAGAGGAATGGACCCTGTTTAGTCAATTGCTCTCAGCCGGATTTGAAAGGAAACTAGGACCCTACAAACGCCCACAGTCTGCATCTTCCCCAGCTTTGGGCACCTTCTGAGAGTCAAGTCAGCTGGTGGTGGGGTGGCCACTCTGCAGTGGCTCCTCCCAACAGTCCCCTGAGGACCCTGAGGGGCCAGAACGATGGCCAACTTCTGGGGTTTCCTTGGAGACCCCAGTTCACAAGGTCAGGCCCAGGCCCGGCCTGCGGGTGTGACACAGACACCCGGGCCACTCTCATGCCCTCAGGTCCAGGAGGCAGCAACAGTGCCCCTGCCGTGAGGTGGCCTGTCGCAGGGTGGGCTGTGGTGGAGCCCTGTCCCTGCACACGCTGGCTGCCTTGGGGTCCCGGGGCCTTCCCTGGCAGCCTAGGAGGCCTGGGGCCCCTCGGAGGGAGGACGTGGGACCCCAGAGGGCAGAGCATCTGGGTGGCTGGCAGCAGGTGGAGGAGCTGCCCTTCCTGGCCAAGCTAAGGGCTGGGCAGAGGCCAGCTCGGGGGCACAGCCCGAATTTGGCAAACTGAGGCAGCGGCCAGAGACGGAGAATGCTCTGTCTGGGAGCACCGCAGGCTCAGAGCCAGGATGCAAGAGCGAGCCAGGACACAGCCCAGTGTCACAGCCGCCGGCTGTGAGGGAGGACAGCCAACGGCCACAGCGGGGGGGTGGGGGAGACACCCCCACAGGTTAAGAGACACTTCAGTGTGAGCTGGGCAGAGAAAGGGGCGGGGGGCCAGGGAACCTCAGCACCTGACCCAGGTGCACGGGTCACACTGCCCACAACAGACCCATGGGGGCACTGGCCTGGAACCAAGTCATTTTAGGCAGAAAACCTGTTGCAAAACCGAGACTGCACTCAAGTGCAGCATGGCCCACCACGGGCAGAGGCCTCCTGGGTCCCACACCCACGTGCCTACCTGAGTGATCGCGTTCAGCTCCTCGAGGATGGCGTCTTCGTCCTCCTGAGTGAAGCTTCCAGCCAACAGCTCGTCTATTTGCTGCAAAAGGAGCGGCCGTGAGAGCAGGGCCCGCAGGGGGCAGAGGACAAGGAGACTGCCTGCGGCAGGGTCTCCCCAACTGGAGAGTAGGCGGGGAGGCGGCCGCAGGGCGGGGGAGGCGTCAGGTGGGGCACCTACCCGCTGATACTCCACGGCCTCCTGGGTCTCGTCCAGGATCCTCTCCACGTCTTCTATGGACATCACCTGGCAATGACAGGGACAAGCATGGAGTCAGCAAGGCCCATCACAGAGCCTAGTCAAGGCCACTTGGGCTCCCAGGGCGAAGGCCGTGCCCCTCTTCCCACTAAGTGAAGCCACTTCTGTCCCAGGAGGGCCCTGCCCTGAGGCCGCAGGGCCGCCTGACCGTTTCTGTTTTTTTATGGAGATAGAGTCTCACTCTGTTGCCCGGGCTAGAGTGCTGTGGCATCAGCCTAGCTCACAGCAACCTCAGACTCCTGGGCTCAAGTGATCCTCCTGCCTCAGCCTCCCAAGTAGCTGGGAACTTATAGGCATGCGCCACCATGCCGCGTAATTTATATATATATATAATATATATATATAATTTAGTTGTCTAGATAATTTTTTTCTATTTTTAGTAGAGATGGGGGTCTTGCTCTTGCTTAGGGTGGTCTCGAACTCCTAACTTTGAGCAATCTACCCGCCTCAGCCTCCCAGAGTGCTAGGATTACAGGCATGAGCCACTGAGCCTGGCCTTTGCTTTCTTTTGAGTAGCAAGTTCATAGTAGCACCAGTGTCCCAAGCCCAGCCCAGCCTCACACCCCGAGTCTGGCACAAACACCTCCTGGCCGACAGCGAGGGTGCAGTTGTGGCCTCAGGCACCCTCATGGGTCAAGCCCCCCCACCGACCCCTGGGGTGCCCCCTGCTCCGTGGCCCCGGCCCCGCAGGGACCCACCTGGTGCATCTTGTTCAGACACTCATTGCCCAGCTGCAGCCCTTCCATGACCTTCATCTCGATCTGGGTGAACTCTATGCTCTGCACCTGCAAAGGAAGCGGGCCGGGCCCACACTCAGTAGCTGGCCTGCCCTCCTGACCCGGGGCAGACTCAGGACAACACTGCTGGGTGTGTCTTGAGTGTTACAGTGACTCCCAAGCTGCTCTTCTCCCTGTCCTCTCCAAGGCCAGGTGGGGACAGAGCAAGACTGCACACCCAAGGGATCACTGACTGCTTTTTCACTGCTCTGGTTAGCAAAGTATAGAGCCACATCACCCAGGGCCCTAACACCAGGGACGCTCATGCTGGTCCCTCGACACCTCCTCGGTCACCAGGGCAGACCCCTGACCCACCCATGCCACCCAGGGGTGGCCCAGCCCTCTGGACCATGCTCCCAGGACAGCCATGCTGCCCCTGCCCCTAGGGACCATCAGGTTCCAGCAAAGACCGAGCCGTCTCATGTAGGCCTGACCCACTGTCCTCTCGAGGTGAGGTTCGGCCCGCAATGTCCCAAGGAGAAGGGCACCTGGGCGCCCTGGGTTGGAGCGCACCCTCCCGCCTACCATGGCCTCCAGGCTGCTGATCTGGGTCTCCGTCTTGTCCAGCAGCTGCTCCCGGTATCGCTTTTTCTTGAGCAGCAGCTTGGCCCGTCTGCAGAGGGAAGCCCAAGCGGTGACCCTGCTGCAGGCCCTCCCAGCGTGGACTGGCCTCCTGGGCCTCCCACCCCTCTCCGGGCCCTACTCACTCCTTCCTGCCATCTCTCAGCAGCTGCCGGGCCAGGGCCCGCTCCCGCTCCAGCTGCTGGGTGATCCTCTTCTGGTACTGCTTCAGTTTGTCACGCTGCTGCTTCAGTTGCTGCCAAGAGAGCAGGCCTAGGGTCAACTGCAGGCAGACACTGGCACAGGGCACATCTCACGCTTGGGACCACGTCTCCAGGGCAGACCGCCGTAGGAGAGTTAAGTCAAGGCAAACGTGCATCTTTCAGATTTGGCATAGCGAGAAGCTCGTCACCGACGGGTTCTCTCTGAGAGAGCCCACGTCCTGGCTCCCTTCACGCACAGAGTCCTCTCTTCAGAGGCCTATGGGTGGGCCCGGAGGGTGGGAGCTGCCTGTGCTTCCCTTGTAAAGCGAAAGGCACCCCTCACTCAGCCCAGGGCTTGGGAGACCCCAGGGTCAGGGCCCACGCCCAGTCTTCCCCAGCTCCTGACCAGAGCCTTCACGGGCCATCACCCACACCAGCTGTATGCAAAACATTGAGTCTGGTCTCAGAAGAGATTAGAGAGCGGCCAAAGGGAGGCAGGTGTGGCCAGGTTGCCCTGCGGTCAAACAAGAGGTCTCAGCAGAGGGGCATGCCGGCATGCTGGGACTCACCTGTTATTCTAGGACAGGGGTCCTCAAACTTTTTAAACGGGGCCAGTTCACTGTCCCTCAGACCATAGGAGGGCTGGACTATAGTTTTTTTAAAAAAAACTATGAACAAATTCCTATGCACACTGCACATATCTTATTGTGAAGTAAAAAAAACAAACGGGCAAAAACACCTGCATGTGGCCTGTGGGCTGTATTTTGAGGACGCCTGTTCTAGAATAACATAAAGCAGTATTTGTTTCATTATGTGCTAATTGTGTTGTTCCTGAGCATTTAAAACTCCAAGAAGAAAAGGCAGATGGGAACATATGTCTGCACTGCCTGTAGAACCCCACCAAAGGGAATCCTAAGCAAGTACAAAGTTCTACGTAAAGATAAACTGGGAGGTGAGTCCTTAAACTGAGAAGAGAGGCCGGGTGTGGTGGCTCATGCCTGTAATCCTAGCACTTTGGGAGGCTGAGGCAGGAGGATTGCTTGAGTCCAGGAGTTCAAGATTGCAGTAAGCTATGACGATGCCACTGCACTCTAGCCTGGGTGACAGAGCAAGACCCTACCTCAAAAAAAAGAAAGAGACAGAATCGCCTTGTGGACTTCCTGCTCTAGCCAGAGACAGTGGAGGGTGGAGCTGGGCACACCTGTGGGGCGGGGCCAGCTGGGCCCTGCTGTCCAGTGAACAGTACCTGGAGACAAATGTGCCCGTCACTTCTTCTTCACCTGGGGGACCTCAGTTAAGAACTCCCTAAAACTTATGGGTTCCAAATCCAAGGAAAGAAAGTATCTTTCATTTTTATTCATTTCTCTTTTAGCATAAAAATAACCTACTTTTGTTGCAGAGAATTTAGAAGAGAAAGCATCAGGAAAAAGGTAAACTCTGCTCACATTTTGGAGTATCTCTTTTCTGACGTTTTTTCCTCATTACAGAAATGGGTTATTCTTAACACACTTAATGTCACTTAAAGTATCATACAATTCTTCCCAGAAAAACTATTATATCTGAGCTCCCCTGGAAGAGACACTTGCATCTACAAGTATATTAGATTCAACTCATCATCAACTTCCGAGGGTCCGGTTTTGCCTACGTGATGGGTCCCAGGGTCCCCGGTGGTCGCAAACAAGCTCGCCAAACGCTCCAGTTTCGCATCAGAGTGCTTTGGGGACTTAGCAGGACTGCAGATCCCAGCAAGGACTAAGGCGGACTGAAGCCCTCCTAGAACGCTCTGCAGATGCTGCGGTAGTTCCAGGGATTAGAGACGCAGGGGCGAGGGGATGGGCCGGGCGCCTGCCGCCCCCCACCGCGGCAGCTAGGCGGGGTTGGGGACCAGGGCGTCGGCGGGCAGTTGGGACGTCGGGGCAGAGGGGCAGCCGCACTCTGGAGGCGACGACTCCAAAAAAGACGCGACTCGGCTGCGCCTGGGAGCCCGGGGCTGACCAGCCCCAGCCGCGAAGCCCCCAACTCCCAGGCGCGGCCCGGCGGGGAGCCCACGGCAGGACGCGCCCACCCCGAGCGCCGCCCCCGCCGCGCCGGCCTCGCTCGGCCGACCCCACCGGGTCCGGGCTTACCAGCACCGGGCTCGGGAGGCCGAGGGGCCGGTCCCCACAGCCGCCGCCCCGAGAGCGCCACGCCCGGACACCCCCGCCGGGCAGCGAGCCTCAGTTTCCCCACCCCAAGTGCGGGCGGCGAGGGCCTGGGCTCTTCCGGCCCCACAGCCGACCGCCGCCGGCCTCTGCCTCCCACGTCCCCACCCCTCACCAGGATGGCCTTGTCCTGCTCTGTGACCCGGCTCTGCTTCTTGCGGCCGAACAGGTTGCCCATGGCGGCCCCGGCCCGGCCCCCGCCGCACCCCGGTCCCTGCAGCCACCGTAGACCGAACCCGTCCTGTTACGGCGGCCGCCAAGGGCCCGGCGCCGCCGAACGCGAAGCTCGAATGTCTCCTGGTCAGGCCCGCCCCGCTACGGTGGCCGCAAAGACCCGGCGCTACGGAACGCGAAACCTCTATACGACCCCAGCCAACCCCGCCCCGCTACGGCGGCCGCAAAGGGTCTGGCGCCGCAGAACGCGAAGCGCGCGCGCCTCTCCGGCCGCGCCTCCCGCGGATTCTAATCCTTGCTCGCCATCGGTGACCGCCGCGAGCACAGTGGCCTTCCTGGACCCGTAGTGTGGTGGCACGAGAAGTTGATGTTAGGGCCGGGGTCTTCTGAGTGACGGGTTTATGGGCACCCTACCCGCCCCATCTCCTGATTACTACAGATGGGATCTCCAGGTTTACGTAATTCAGTTTCCCAGGTGTCCTGAAATCCTGGGCAGGAGCCACTGCCCCGCCAGCTCTGGACGCAGAACGCTGCACATAGTGATGTTATATCCAGCTTTTTAAACTTAAAAGTGTTCCCTGATGAGTCTCAAGTTAGTGGCAATGAAAAAGGAAAAAAATAAATAAATAAAAAAAAAGTGTTCCCTGCAAGGTGCCTGGGCAGTGTGTCCACCCAGCCACGCAGCACAGTTTCTCTTCCCACCCTCGTGTTCTGCCAGGAGCAGCCCAATGTGGTCCATGGTGGCCCAGCGTGGCCAGGGGGAGCCCAACGTGGCCCATGGTGGCTTAGCATGGCCAGGAGCAGCCCAATGTGGCCCATGGTGGCCCAGCGTGGCCAGGAGCAGCCCAGTGTGGCCCATGGTGGCCCAGCGTGGCCAGGGGGAGCCCAACGTGGCCCAGCGTGGCCAGGGGGAGCCCAACGTGGCCCATGGTGGCCTAGCATGGCCAGGAGCAGCCCAGTGTGGCCCATGGTGGCCCAGCATGGCCAGGGGGAGCCCAACGTGGCCCATGGTGGCCCAGCGTGGCCAGGAGCAGCCCAGCGTGGCCCAGCATGGCCAGAGGGAGCCCAGCGTGGCCCATGGTGGCCCAGCATGGCCAGGAGCAGCCCAATGTGGCCCAGCATAGCCAGGGGGAGCCCAGCATGGCCCATGGTGGCCCAGCATGGCCAGGAACAGCCCAGAGTGACCCAGCGTGGCCAGGGGGAGCCCAGCCTGGCCCACGGTGGCCCAGCGTAATCAGGAGCAGCCCAGCATGGCCAGGAGGATCCCAACGTGGCCCGGCTATGGGCTGAGACTGCACGTCGCCTGACTACCGCAAACCGCTTTGGCTGGCAGCTCCTGGCCCTACCTGGAGTCCCCGCAACGAACATCCATTTAAAGCCAGTGTCTCCTCGCTGCTGAGCTCTTGTGTATCTCCTTCCCCCACTGCACAGCCACTCTCGTAAGTGGGTGGGGCCCTGTGGGGAGGGTCTGGAGGTGGCTCCCTGGTATTCTTGGCCACATTGCTTGGGCTCTTCTTCAAGGCCCCAGGGGCCTCCACGGCCCCCCCCTCCACGGCCCCCAGCCTGTGAACTGGGAGAGGCGTGGCTGTCGGCCGTGGGTTTGCAGCAGACCGGGAGTTTGTTCTGTTCCACACGGCAAGCACGTGCTGGCGGGCGGCCATCACTCTGTTCCCACGGACACGCTAAGTGGCCGGAGAGGCCACGGGCCACGGCGTTCTCAGCACCAGCATGTCCTGCTGCCCCTGGGCTGTGGCCCGCCTTGTGCTTGCCGGCCGGCTGCTGCCTCTTGGGCTCCGCTGCTCTGGGATCCTGTCACCCCTGCTGAAATCAGGGGCCCCCTCAACATGGCGCCCCATCCCGTGGTCACACTTTGCGACAAAGGAGAGCAGGGAGGGAGCTCCTCAGGCCACAGGTTCCCCTCACTCAGGCATCCCTCGTCCCTTGTGTCTTCTGTGCCTTGGGGGTGGGGTGGGGGTGTCAGGCCACACTCGGTGGACCCAGCCAGCTTCCCTCTCCCCGAACCCCGCGTTCTCTCCTCCTCGTCATGCGGCGGGAGCTCGGCATCTCAGCCTCACCGGCTGTCGGCCACTGTCCGGTCCAGCTGCACGGGTCGGGCGGGATCCAGCCTCGCAGCTGGGCGCCCCGAGGCGGATGGAATCAGCCCGCCCTGTGCTCCGTGTCCACGTCCGCGGCCTCACCCCCCCAGAGCCCACTCCCACACGCACTCCCAGGTTCCTGCCAATGTATGTTTGAAAAGTCTCTGAATTCTTGTAGTAGATAAGCCAGGGTTTGGCAAACTCCAGCCTGTGGGCCAGATTAGGCCTGGAGTCTATTTTTTGTACAGCCTTCGAGCTAAGAATGGTTTTCACATTTTTAAAGGGTTGTAAAATGCGCGCGCGCGCACACACACACACACACACACACAACACTAAGAGTGAGGAGGAGGAGGACGAGGACCAGGAGGACAGTGACCACGTGTGGCTCACAAAGTCCAAGACATTCACTGCTTGCTGTCTTACAGGAAGGGATTCTCAGGCCATCCCGCGTCATGCCACGTGCCTGACCCCTAAAATGTGAGTCTGCATCTCGTGGCCACAAGCGGCGGCTGCAGTCGTCCTTGCGGAGGAGGGGCTGCCTCGGTGGGCTCCCCGAGGGTTTCTGCACACGGGACAGTCTCCACCGCCGCCCCTGTGGCCACTGGCCAGTGGCACTCACTTCAACCGCACTCGTCACGCCCAGCCAGCGGCCGCAGCCCGAGTCACTGTGATGTCCACGTGCCAGGGACACAGGGGCACGTGTGCCGTCCACAGGGAGCTCGGCGGTGCGCCGGAGCCCAGCGCACGACCAGAACAGGGCTGTCTCCGGGGCCTCCCCGCACGATTCCGCACCACCGGGTCCCAGGCGGGAGACAGAGACCACACCAGTACTGTGAACAGGAAAATGTGACGCCATAGAGGATTGAAGACTCGAAATAGGGGTTCGCCGACAGGGTCCAAGAGAGCTCCGCAGGGATGGGGGAACGGCACACGCCGGCAGCAGCGACTGTTTCCAGGGCGGAGAGAACTTGGCAGGCGGCCCCCGCGGGGCCGGGGCCAGGCCTGGGGCGGGCGGGGCTGCCACCGGAGCCCCAGCCTTGGCGGGACGCTCGTTGCCTGAGGGCGAGAGCCAGAGCCACGGCGCCAAGACGCTCCCCAGGGGACAGATGGGCAGAGCCGCTCCGGCAGGAACTCCCACCAGGTGCTGAGAGTCTTGCCGGGAGCGCGACAGACTGGGGGCGTCTGCAAGAGGCGGCCCACGGGAGGTGGAGACGCTCGCTGAAAGCCTCCCTCGCGCGATCAGCTGGCAGCTGCGCCGCGGGCACCGGGGAGGGACGTGGCAGCCTCCGCGCCTCGCCGTGCCCCCGGCGCCCTCTGCCGGCAGAGACAGCGCCCAGCGGCCAGGGCGAGAACCGTCTACAGGGTCCGTCTACGGAGCACGCCCAGGCAGGGAGGACCCGGAGTGGAGGGACCACAGCCAGTCACGGCAGGAGTGACGAGCGTGACTCCCCAGGCCAGATCCCAGGAGGTGACCTGGCTGTCACCTGGCACCTCTTGGGACCCTGGTCCTCGCAGCTCGGCCTCCCCACTGTGTCCCCCACGGAAGGAACCACCAGGTGCCACCAGCTGACTGGCCACGGGGCGACCACCTGGGGACCCATCAGCCCAGCCAGCCCAGCCGATGTCACACAGGCAGGGGGACCCCTCCCCAGGAGCTGCCAGAATGGCGGATCTGTGAGCTGAGTGCACAGAGGTGGTCGGCTGCACAGCAGTGGGAGACAGGAGCGGCGGCGGCGGGCAGACCCGAAGCGCACACGCGTGTGTGGCACATGAACGTGGAAGTGTTTCTCGGAGGCCACCCAGGAGAAGCCTGTCCTCCCCTCCGCGGGGCCCAGGCCCGGGACTGGCCCAGGACTCTCTGTCACGCGGCTTCATGTCGGATCTGGACGTTTCGTGACGCAACGCACTTAAGCTTCGCTAGATTGAGACTGTCAGTCTCTTCGGTCTGGGGACACGGGGCCAGTCGGCCAGGCCAGAGGCCCCCGCAGCCCCGTCCATCCCGATCGGCGCCCCAAGCTCCCTGCCCCGGCCCCCCACTCCAGCTCCCTGTGAGGAGCGAGGGGACCCGGTTTCCATGGCAGCACGGCCCGGCGTCACCCCGGCCTGCAGAGGCTCCTCACGGCCAGTGTCTCTGGCCTTCGTGAAGGTGAGCGGGGCTGCTCTGGGGAGGTGACCCAGCAGGGGCCTGCACACGAGCCCTCGCATCCGCCTCCCTAGAGTCTAGTCTCTGGGTCCCACCCGGTTCCAGCAGCAAGTGGAGCCAGCGCCCAGGGCCCCAGATGCCCAGGCAGGGTCTGGCGCGCTCAGCGCTGGGGTGCGGCACTCACGCGGGCCCTGGGAAGCCACTCTGCCCGCTGCTGTCCAGGTTGAGTTAGCAAAATCTGGGGGTGCGATAGATTTTCCCTCTTCTCCCTGGGCAGCTGGGATCTCACCCAGCTCTGGGCTGGCGGTGGCACCAGTGGGCTTGGCCCGGGGAGCATGGGTCCCCTGGGCAGGCCACGCGGCCCCGGCCAGGTCTTGGTGAGGGGCTGCCGTGGGCAGGGGGGAGGGGCCGGCAGCCCCTCGTCTCCACTCCAACTACCCCCGACTTGCACACAGGGACCTGGGGGGCTGTGAATTCGATTCACGCTGCAGTCCTACAGCCCGCAGGGTGACGCTGGGGGGGGGGGACGGTCTCTCGTACACAGTCCTGCTGCAGGAAATGAGATTTCCTTTTGCTGCATCCGCCACACTCTGCTTCTCTCACTCCGACTTGAACTGAGAATTTAAAGCCCCTGGGTGTCATCATAAAACTGCACCTTTCCAGGGCTGTCAGAAGTCACCAGCCCACCCCGTGGTCCTCGTGCCCCTAAATTCCACAGGAAGACGCTGTGGCTGCTTCTTGGTCTCACCGGATCTGGCTTCGGGAACCATTTCGCTCCTGGCAGCCACGGAGGAGGCGGAGGCGTCTTTCCTGGCCCGGACTGCGGGTCCCGACTGTCACGGGCCGCGGGGGCTGCGGGGC